GAGGTGGTGGGGCTGGGGACTCCTGGCTAGGGCTGCTTCCCCCCTCCCCCTCCAGGTACTCCTCAGCAGACCAGGGGAGGGGAGTTAACCCCTCCCAATCCTACTGAGGCCTGCCAGGCCCTGGCCATACCCCATCCTCAGCTCAGTTTACCTCCAGCTGAAAACTCACTCTAGTGCCTCCCAGCTTCTGGCCTGAGCCACTGTAGGCATGTGCCTGCATGTCTCGAATCAAAAGGGAATGTCTATTCACTTGCAAATCAGTTCAGTCTACATAGGTTAAACTAATCTGCAAAGATTTAATCAATTCAGGCTTGGGCTTTTTGCATGTCTGTCCCTAGCCTTGGGTGCATGGGCTTTTTCAATGGCACTTCTACTACAAGGAGCAAATGGATTGGGGGGCTGGAAAAAAGGGAACAATTGGAGAGGGTTTGCTGAGGTAAAGGGATGGAGGAGCTGGAAACCAGAACTTGTTGGGGGTTGTCAAGGGGAGAATTAGGGTTGCCACCCCTCCTGGATTGGCTGGAAGTCTACTGGAATCGGCATTGATCTCCCAGTGACTATTGAAAGCAATCCAAGAGACTGATATTGTGAATGGGTTGAACAGTACCATTAATGACATTACATCATGTTGGGGGGAAAAAATCTCCCAGAATAGCTTCAGTCAGAGTTGGCAACCTAGGGAGAAGGAACAGGATTTGTGGAAGTCACAGGCACTGCAGGGATTACAGACAGCTAGAGCCCAGCAGGAGATTGGCTGGGAAAAGGGGAGGCAAATTGTTTTTGGGACACATTTGTGGGACTGCAGGAGGCTTCCAGGGAAGAGAGGAGGGAGAGTTTACAATGTCTCTCTCTCTCTCACTGCACTGTAATGGTTAAAAGCCTGCCCTGGGGTACTGGCAATGCTAATAAAGCACAAACAAGGGGCAGTCATTGTTTCTGGAAGGAAAGGGGTGGCTTAGTTCTCAGTGCAGATATAATTGTTCAGCTGTGCCAACTGCTGACTGGGGTAGGCTGGAGTGCGTCAAAGCTGCCTCACCCCCTCATGGAAAATACCCAGCCTGGCTGTCTCCCCCAGTGGAAAGTTCCTATAGGAATTGTCCCAAACACTGCAGCCCAGCAGCGTGCCTAGAGTAGTTGTGTTCAATCTCTGGTGTGTGGACCCATAGGGGACCACAGACCATATCTAAGCAGTCTGTGAAAGATGACTATGATCAATAAAAGTCTGTAAACACCCACACTTACAATTCAAAGGTGTCCGTACCTCCATTCAATTTTTTTAGGGGTCCAAGATCAGGATTCCCTGATTTAGCAGACTAATGTAAGGTCTCTTTCAAACTCTCATGGTTCTAGCATGGAGAGGCAAAGCTTGGCTGAGCTCTCCCTGGGGATTTTCCTTCTGCTCTTTTGAGGGACAACCTGCTGTAGCATTGCAAAGAGGACACCACACAGGATGAATTCTCACCCTCAGAGGTCAGGCCTGGAGCCCTGCTATGAAGAAAGCAACAACCTCAGAGGAGCACAATGCAGGTGCTCTATTTAGTGGTGGGGTTCAGAATCAGAGAGATATCTGCCTTCTGAAAAGAAGGAGTGTATGTCCTCCTGCTCTGGGACTAAACTCAGATCTTCCCTCCTTCCACCCCTTGCTAGCAGCATTAACATCACAGAATGGGGAGGGTGCTCTCATGATGATAGTTTTGATGTTGTCACTTTATGGTACTTTTCTATTCTTGCCCTCTCGCCTCATGCAAGGGCTGCTAAGAGGCAGCTGGATCCGGAGGCACAATTTAGAGCGGTCCCCAGGGTGCTGTAAATTGCATTGGCTCTTCTTCCAGCCTTCCATTTCAGCAGGTGGAGATCAATGGAAAACTGCAGCACTCTGCCTGCACCTCTGGGTATTTTCCTCTCCCTCATGCCAGGGAAATGTTCTGGTAGCTACCATCTGCTAGCTTTCCAGCTGCTCTATACCTGAGCACTCTAGCAACAAGCTACCTTAAATCTGCAGAGTGCTAGGTTCTCTTAGCATCCCCTGAAGTCAATGGAAACTGAGGGCTTTACAACACCTTGCAGGATCAGACCCAGTAACTCCTTTGCTAGAAATCAGTGTTCTTTTGGGTTTGATGTGAGAAGAAAGGGTGGCTGAGAATGAAGACTGATACCTTCCTTTTTGTGTAGCAGTGCTGCGAAGCAAGAAGAGACACAAGGATTGAATCATTCAGGTAGGACTGGAGGCAAGAAATGGGAAACACAGTGGGCCCAATTCCCCACTGTCTTGTTAAGGCTGTCAGCAGCAAGCATGAAAGGCCATTAGTCCATGGGCTCCACTCACTCAGGCAGGGAGGAGAGGTTTGCACAGGTGTGTGTGTGCCAATGTGGGAGCTCAGTTCCCCTTCTAGCTGCTTTGCATCCTTTGTAGAGAGGCAAGGCAGCCAGAATGCCAGCTGATCAGGCTCCAAGAAGATTCCCTTTATAACAGGAAACTCCTTGGGTAACTTACAGTGGTCCAAGTGGTATTCCCATGCCCTGGCAACCCCCAGAATGGCCCTGGGGTGGCAGAGGGCTCAACTCTGCTGTGGTGTAGACGAGTCCTGACATGGAAGGGGCCTGAGGACACTCTTGCCCCACCCAGAAGGTGTCCAAGAAGAGTGGTCGTTCCTTAAGGAGACAATCCTCCAAGCCCAAAGGGAGGTAATCCCAACACAGATCAAGTGGGGCAAGAGGGTGCAAAAGCCCCCATGGCTCACCAAAAGCATCCGGGAACGTCTCCTAGCTAAAAAGGAGGCGTACACCCAATGGAAGGGAGGGGCCATCACCAGGGAGGACTACATCTCAGTTGCTCGGGACTGCAGGGGGGCGGTCAGGAAGGCCAAGGCGGAGATGGAACTGGGACTAGCGACCCAGATCAAGGACAACAAGAAGTCCTTTTTTAAATACATAGGGGGCAAAAAGAAGGTACCAGGTAACATGGGGCCTCTGCAGGACATGCTAGGAAATCTGATCGTCGCACGAGACACCATAGCTAACCCATTTAACAATTTCGTTGCCTCCATTTTCCTGAGCAGGGATTGGGTCACCCCCCAACCGGGACCCCCATAGACCCCAGGGGAAGCACAATCAGGCCTAGGGTCAGTGAGGACCTAGTCAGGGAACTTCTGGAGGGACTGGACATATTTAAATCAGCAGGTCCTGACGACCTCCACCCCAGGGTGCTGAGGGAACTAGCAGAGGTCATTGCGGGACCCCTGGCATGGCTTTATGAGCACTCGTGGTGCTCTGGCATTGTGCCAGAGGACTGGAAAAAGGCCAATGTGGTTCCCATTTTCAAAAAAGGGAGGAAGGAGGACCCAGGAAACTATGGGCCAGTTAGTCTTACCTCGATCCTGGGTAAGCTTTTTGAGAGAATTATCCTGGAACATGTCCACGAGGGAACAGCAGGGGAGGTTATGCTTAGGGGCAACCAACATGGGTTCATTAGAGGCAGGTCCTGCCGGACCAACCTGGTGACCTTCTATGACCAGGTCACAAAATCCTTAGACGCAGGGGTAGCAGTGGACGTAGTCTTTCTGGACTTCAGGAAAGCCTTTGACACTGTCTTTCACCCCATTCTCATTAAAAAACTTGGGGACTGTGGCATCGACACTTACACAGTCAGATGAGTCACTAACTGGCTGGAGGGCCACACCCAGAGAGTGGTGGTGGACAGGTCTTATTCGACCTGGAGGGATGTGGGCAGTCGGGTCCCCCAGGGCTCGGTCCTCGGACCCACGCTGTTCAATATCTTCTTCAGTGACTTGGACGAGGGGGTAAAAAGCACCCTTTTCAAATTCGCAGACAACACTAAGTTGTGGGGGGAAGTGGGCATGCTAGAAGGGAGAAACAGGCTGCAATCGGACCTGGACAGGTTACAGAGGTGGGCAGATGAGAACAGGATGGGTCTCAACACTGACAAGTGCAAGGTGCTGCACCTGGGGAGGAAGAACCAGCAGCAGACCTACAGGCTGGGGAACTCCCTTCTCATCAGTGCAGAGGCAGAAAAGGATCTCAGAGTCATTATTGGTGCCAAAATGAACATGGGCCGACAGTGTGGAGATGCGGTCAGGAAGGCCAACCATACTTTGTCATGCATGCACAGATGCATCTCAAGCAGGTCCACAGAGGTGATCCTCCCCCTCTATGCGGCACTGGTCAGGCCGCAGTTGGAGTACTGCGTCCAGTTCTGGGCGCCGCACTTCAGGAGGGATGTGGACAGCATGGAGAGGGTTCAGAGGAGGGCCACTTGCATGATCAGGGGGCAGCAGGGCAGGCCCTACGAGGAGAGGCTAAGGGACCTGAACCTGTTCAGCCTCCACAAGAGAAGGCTGAGGGGGATCTAGTGGCCATTTTCAAACTAGTCAGAGGGGACCAGCAGGCATTGGGAGAGTCCCTGTTCCCCCAAGCACTACCAGGAGTGACTAGAAATAACGGTCACAAGCTGGCAGAGGGTAGATTCAGGCTAGATATCAGGAGGCGCTACTTCACAGTCAGGGCGGCTAGGATCTGGAACCAACTTCCAAGTGAAGTGGTGCTGGCTCCTACCCTGGGGGTCTTTAAGAGGAGGTTAGGCAAACACGTTGCTGGGGTCGTTTGACCCCAGTACTTTTTCCTGCCATGGCAGGGGGTTGGACTTGATGATCTGCTCAGGTCCCTTCCGACCCTACAAGCTATGAAACTATGAAACTATGAAACAAGTATGCTTCAAAGCAATCAGGCAGCTCTGGGCTTGTTCCTTTGTGTCTGCTCCGGTTGACTCAGTGGCAAACTTCCAGATTGGTAGTGTGTGGGTGCATGGAGGACATTGGAACACCTCAGTGCCAGGACTTGCCATGATGTAGAAAAGGCCTCAGGGGCTGTAATCAGCCAGTTGTGGTTTAGAGAAGCCCCAAAATGTCATTTTCTTACGCCCTGAAAACAAATCTATACTACCTTTTACTGTGCCAGTGATGCTGCCAGGGAGCATACCTTACCTCTCTGTTGCTCTGAGTGGTAAGAAGTCACAGTGTAGGAGCTGTGCAGGCAGTAAGCAGCAGCTAGATTTTCAGCACCTGGCATGCACAGACAGAGAGTGAATGGACAGGGCTTATTTTCACAACTACAGTCCCTTGCACATGTGCCCCCAGTGACTCCAAGATGGGGAGCATGCAACACCACTCTCCCTTCCCCACTCTGCCATGCTGCATCTCACCTCGAGACTGCCCTATAACTGGTATTGTGCAAGGGAGCAACTACACCCTGCTGCAACATTCAGACTGGGCTTGTCTTCCTGGCTTTTCCCGCCCCCAGGGCAGGGGTGGGGCACATACACCTAACATACTGCCAAGCTAGTGTGCTTTATTTCCATCAAGAAATAACTGGCCAAGGTCAGCACTGGCCCAGTGCCTGGAAGACAAACCTGATAAGGAAAGTACAGAGGATCAAAATCTCTAGGCTGCCTATTAAGAGGTACTGAATTTGGCAAGTCTGCTGCTTCCCAGGGGCCTGCATCCGGGACATTATGGAGAGGATCCCAAAGCTCCTTAAACCCACAGACCACTATCCCATGCTCCTTATTCATGTGGGCACCAATGACACTGCTCGGAGCACTCCCAGCCAGATCATGAGGCGCTACAGGGATTTGGGAGCGGGGCTTAAGGGTCTGGGGGCACAGGGGGTGTTCTCGTCAATCCTCCCAGTCTCAGGCTATGGGCTGAGAAGGGACAGGAGGATCTATGTGGTCAACCAAAGACTGCAGCGCTGGTGTCGTCAGGAAGGCTTTGGCTTTCATGACCACAGCCCGCTCTTTGGCGAGAGAGGCAGCGAGCTGCTGGGAAGAGATGGCCTCCACCTCTCTCCCCTAGGGAGGAGGCTCTTCTCAGCCAGACTGGCTGACCTGCTCCACCGGGCTTTAAACTAAGCCCGCTGGGGGACGGGGGG